CTCATGAGGCCCAAGGTGATTTGGCGATGGCAAGCAGTGAACACTGCAAGAACAGCGAGTGTAAGTGTCGAGTATCACAAGCACGGTGGGTGTGAGTGTCGAACACCACCAGTACAAGCCAAATGCGAATTAAACAAGGTCAGTATCGGTAAGTATTGGTCGGGGCAGCCATTACTCTAAAGCCGAACACCAAACGCCAGGAGAAAGAAGAGAGAAAACACAGGAACAATTGCTGTGTCTTGTCAGGATCATACCAATGTATCTGCAGACAGCAAAATGCTTTAAAGGGCCTTTTTATTTGACCTTGATTTGAAAATTCTTTTCGGCAATCTTTTGCCTGGGCGCACAGTATCGTCCTCGTCGTCAAACTTCCTTTTACGCCCAGTGGACGGCCGCACGGCGGGACTGCCCTCTCGAACAGTACCTGTCGTCTTCTTGTTAGACGCCTTTACCTCCGTACTGACGGGCAACTTTATCTTGCTGGCGGACGTCTTTATCTTCCCAGCAGAAGGCATGGTGGTCGCGAAGGGGAGGGCGGCCCTCGCTGAGGAACACGCTCCTCGCATTCAAAAGGAATGGGAAGATCTGCTCCAAAACTACCCCGTCAGTCTAACAAATCAGCGCAAGACTCCCTGAAAGTTTTCCTTTCCAAAAGCTCCAGACTTCACATTCGAGCGCGCCGTCAGGGAGAAAGTACTCGGCAGAAAAAAGGCGGCTCCTAATGCTCAAAACCCAAACCCTCCTTGGTTGTTTCAGGTTGAGCTCAACACCACCCAGGGCAAACGGACTGGTAACATACCCGAGGACAAGGTCACAGTGTGGCCGCTAGGGTTTCCATTTGTGTGCAATGTGGACCATCCATCGAGCCACCAAGGCGTGCTGGCACTTCAGAAAGGTGATTAAAGACAAGTTGTTCGATTACACTGGGGGAATGACGACAAGGGCAATTCTCCTCAGGGACGTCCAAATGCTGTTCCTTGGTTTCAAGTCTACTGCAAGGGTCAACAAGGATACGTCAACTTTTGGGCCCTTGAAATCGGTCGTGTCAATGCGGTCGGGCTGGCCACGATTGTTCCTCCAGCCTCAGATCCAAATGCCACTAAGGAGACGTCCAGGACAAGGCAGTCTTTACGAAATCAACTCTACCAGGCCGAGCCAGTATCTATAGGCAAGCGCCGTTCAAGGCCGTTCAAGATACCGTATCCGGCCGCATTGTCCTGTATGCATGGAACGCGAGTCACACGTCAGACCCTCGACCCCATTTTACCATCACCACCTCTGCCGCGAGGGCAAACAACTCCCTGGCCGACATCCAGCCAGGGGCTTTGATCTATCCCACTTTTGAGACTTCCAAATCTGGACCTCACCCAGTACAGTGGGCGCGATTCCCCAAGCTCGGGCCCGTTTCCAATTGCATTCTGCGTCGAGTTCCAGCTCCCCAACAAAATGTGGGAAAAGGTCTACATACAATCGCAGACCGTCTTCGAATTCGCTCCGGGCTGCGGCTCCACGGGGCTCGACACTGTTTCCCACAGCTCGACAACCTCGAGCGTTGTCCAGGGACTAGCAGACAAGGTGCCGGGAATGTTGGTGAACTATGCCAAAGCCGTCGCAATCATCCGCTCCCTCGAGCAACGATGCGTCCCGAACGACTACAGCTGGATGATCGAATTTGGAGCCGTTCGCATCATGAAAGTCACGCACAGTTTCCTCGATCAGCAGGTCACGATCAAGCACCTGGACCGACGCCGCGGGGCATGCGGTCCAATTGTGACGGTTGCTTCATTGGTGGCGGTGATGATGGTTCTGCAAGCACTCAGCAACAATCGCAGTGGATCTGCAAAAAGCATTCTGACATGGGATGCACGAATTGCCATCAAAGAGGCATTCCCTGCCCGCGGACGAACCTGGAAAATGCCCCAAACCTCTGGGCTTTGCTCAGGCCGCTCCCGGAGACCAAGGACAATGTGATTCGCGACGACCCTCCAAATTTGATGGAGTTGCAGTACGGGCAATGATGTACTCGGTACGAGGTAGATATGGCCAGAACACGAAAATGTGGCAACGAGCTATAGGCTTGGCCGAAGTTGATAGAAAAAAATCCAGTACTCTCAGAATATCTTTGCATTTGCTCAGTTTGGTGAGATACTCCCGGCCAGTATACTTCATATGGGACGACTTTTTCTGCGGCCTCAAGTTTCATAGAACTCTGCCTTTCACCAGATCTCTGGCAATCGTCAGGAGAAAAACACACTATAGTCTTATAAAATATCCCTGTGACACAACATGTATATTATAGCGAGGACTAAGACCGTGCCCTCAGCCGATAAACGCACCGGATACCTGCAGATTTTCGCACAGTCGCCCAAGCTTAAAGTGAACAACGCTTTCTTTCGTTACCGCTTTCATCGACCATCATCACAGAGAGCACGCTGAGCCTAGAGCCCACGTTGAACCCAGAACTCCCGTGGAGCCCATGTTGCCACCACCGCGAGTCAGACCATCAGCGAGCCCACCTTCCTAGCGATACACCGGGGGAGCCTGGTTGTTCGCATAGCTCTGCAGGGGGATGCCACCCTGGCCGTACAAGGGCAACGGTGCCTCTCCCGTATAGTTGGGCGGCTCGGATTGCTGTCCCTCGCGGAAGTTGGCCGCTGCTGGCGTATTCATGGGCGCTTTTCGCTGTTGCTGGCGTCGCTTGAAAAAGGTGACAGTCCCGACGAAAATGAACATGATGACCATCGCGATAGCAAAGATGATAGTGCCGCGGGTGTTGTCGGCGAACCGGAAACCAACGATACAGTTGGCCAGACCCAGGGTGATTGTCGCAGGACCCAGCACACGATGCCCCTTCATGACCTTGGCGGGCTGTTTCGTCTTCTTGTAAATGCGATGCCCAACTAGTCCGACAACCCATGTAACAAGCCCAAGACCGACAACGACGAAGCCGAGGATTTGATGGCCAGCAGTCAGATTAGGAGACTAGAAATGTTAGTCCTTCCAAGAAATATGGGAACTGGGAAGATGCTCACAATGTTGTTTCGTTTGCTAATAGCAATTCCAACGCCCATACCAAGAATTGTCATGAGCAAGGCCAGCGACTGGACACCCCAGTGAAGCCACACCTTCTCGAACACGCGAAGGAACAAGTAACCTCCAGGAAAGACGATCAAGAAAGCGGCCACCATGAGGAAGGCGTGGAAACCAGTAGCGCCACGGAAGTGACCACCACCAATTGCACCGCCACCAACCACAGTGTCCGAAGAAGCGCTCACGACCGGGACGCCGCCAGTACCCGTTGCAGCCTTGAAGTCGAGATCGAAGAAGTTGTAGCCCTCATGCTGTCTGATTTGCGCGTTGTCATCGTTGGAGTTCAGGGTGCCTGTTGGACCAACGGCCCAGATCATGGACTGTTTTGTGCTGTCAATGTTGACATTGCCGCCACTCCAGTTCCGGCAATTGGAGCATTTCGCATTGACAACGAAAGATCCGTCAGTGATACCACTGCCACTCAGAACGTCCACCTGGACGTCCGAGGTGTGTTGGGGCATGACATGGCCCTTTCCGAGGCGAGGGCTGACCGTAACATTCTTCCCGTTCTCCGATGCATATGTAACAAAGATCAACGCCCCCGCCATCTGAGAGCCAAGGCCGAAGGCTGCCCATGTCTGGCCCGCAGGCGCCGAAAAGTGGAAGAAGAGAGAGTTGGAGTTGTCATTGGGCACGTTGATGGAAACAGTGATATTATCATTTGGGTCCGGCGAGGTGCCCCGTCCGACATACGTGGAAGAGGGAACAGCGGCCTGCGCTGAGAAAATGTAGGCTGCAAGTCGGTGCCATGGTCAGCGAGGATGGTCCTTCCGTCAATGCTGGGGATAATGCAGAGATTGCAACTCACTGGTCAGAAACAGGCTGATCAGTATCCTGATCTTGGCTTGAGAGTGATATAACATGCTCGCAGCTGATGTTCTGAGATTACGATACTTATATTCTGGAGGAAATGGGACTGGATTGGTGCAATGAAGGACAGTATCAACGCTGAACAGGTAGCGAAGGCAGGCAATGAGATAGCTTCAGATTTGGTACAGACACAAAGAAGCAATGAGCAAAGATGTGAGAGAGCGAGAGGTTGAAAAGAGGAAGACAGAGTCCAAGTCAGCAGGCGCCGTGAGATTATCACCAAAAAAAAAATAGGGCAAAGAGATCTGCTCGGTAGAGCACGAGTGGCCAGGCGACAATGCGTTTGTTTCGAGAACAAGTAAAAGCGGGTTTCAGATGTTGTTTTGAGCTGAAAAGAGAAGCATGGGGAACGATGGATCCCCTGACGGCGTTGATGCTCGCAAACCAGTCAATGGCGGAGGTCCGTGCAGGGATAGTGGCCAGCATGGAACCTGAGTGGCTTCAAAGGCCCAGCACATCCAGTCGATTGGCCCAGGCACAGGGGTAACTGGAGATGGGAGAGCGTCGCCTAGCCAATGCCTGGAAGCCCAAATCCGCCCCTAACGACTCTGGATAGATTCGAGCCAGCCAGAGCCCACCGAAGGCATGGCCCTGACGGGGTCCGAGAAGCTTAGCAGAGTAAAGTGGGAGTTTAAGCATCTGAGCCTCCACCCGCAGGTAAGCCTTTCAGCCTCTGAGCCCCGTGGACCCCTGGCTCGGTGCCTGAGGGGAGCCCCCAAGAGATAATCGTTTGAGCCTGAACCAATTGCAGGAAGGGGTTTGGTCAACTGGCGCTTACTCTCGTAAAAGCCACAATCAACACCACCAGCATCTAGAATGCTCATGATGCCCCTCGTCCCCCGAAATAGATGTCGTCAATAAGCCATGCCATACCCGATCTGGGACTTAGCGCTGTAACCGATGCTCAGCCCATCAGTCTCACTTGCAGATGGACTTTTTCCTTGGTCGGGTATCCGAGTACTGTTTGGGAGGGGCTTGTTGCGAGGGGGAACAACAATGGAAGTGCTCCCTGGGTATTCCCGTCTTATTATATTGATTCGTCAAAACCAATTCTCTTGAATGGTCACAAAATAGCGCTGGAAGGGTTCACTTCGCACTGTAAAGTCGCCAACAGATGGCGACCATCCGAAATCCAATATATCGTTGCTCCCTATCGCCATGTGCTCCGGCGTCCAGTTCACTCCCGCACCGCTGGGATCATCCTGCATTATGGCGTGGCTGCTCTCCCTCGTCGTGCTGCCGGTTGCTGCATGGAAAGATTCTGGTACTCGTGGATCTAGGCCCAATCCCGTATTGTTGTAGGGCTGCTCGCTTGTCGGGTCAAATGCCTCCATTGCATTCGCGTTGGCAGCACTGACTGAATAGTCTTGCACGAACCGTTCCATCGGAGTTGGATTGGCCATATCGGCGAATATGATTTCCTGCTTCTGCGGCACCTGGGTTGACTGTGCCTGTTGCTCCGCTCTTCGGGCCTTTGCTCTGGCCATGAGATGCCGCAAGGGTTTCCACAGCATTCCTTTCTGATACTTGGAGTTCATCATTCGTTGCCCATAGACCGATTCGACCGCGCGCCACGCTCGATCTACGTCGGGTCCAGGCGGTCTCACGCAGATCTCTGACAAAGCAAACGCCACTGACTGCCATTGCATATAGGTCCTGAATAGCCAACCCCATTTCGCCGTGTTTTCATTCTTCTCGAGCAGGTGAGAGAATTCTATCACTTCCACTGAGGTGATGAAGACTCGATCCCGGATTTCCGGCGGCATTGGTGAGGGTTCGTTGTTGTTGGAGTACGCTCGCGGATGGTGCACCATCAACCACATCTTGGCCAGGATGAGACGCGCGACCGTCGCAGCAACCCAGTAGATTGGTGTGTTCATGTCGCAGTGCCGTAAGTATTTCTCTTCGAGCCTCCGGTGACACTCGTCGATTAACCTCTCCTTTTCTTCAAGGGACAGGTCGGGAACTTGCTTTGTGCCGGGCCCAGGAGCGCCAAAGCTGAATCGACGCGAAAAGGCACTGATTTCATAGCGAATCAAGCAGAACGTCATCTCGGTCGCTCCGACTCTTTCTGCGGGCCAGAACTTCATTCCGGGATAGATATCGTCGTCGTTCAGGTTTGCAGGGACCTGAGTATCGTAAAACTCGTGGGAGAATGAAGGATCTACACCATGGTCTTCGGCAGCTCGATTGTCTAGCAGAGATATCTGCCACCATAACCGGCGTCGCATTTCCGTGTCAAATGGATTCAATCCGAAATGCGTTCCATCACGGTGGATGCCCAGCGACTGTGCCAGATGCATAGCTAACCCTCCCAATGCCCATACCAATCTTGAATCGTCACAATGCCGAACAAAGATGAGGAAAAATGACAGTGCCTGCAAGCACATGAGACTGGAACTGTTCAAAAAGTCCGCACGGGCCAACGCTTGTTCTGTTGCAAACCGGTACTTCTTTATTAGTGACTGCTTGTCCTCATCCAATAGTTGCTGGCACTGCTCAGGAGTCAAGCTGACTACGGCACCAAAGTAGATGGCAAACAACAAGGCTTCTGCTGGCTTGGAGACTCGATCGATACTGCTCGCAGCATTCATGAGAATTGTTCTGGCTGTAGGTCGATGGAGTATCCTGACCACCGGGTCCACATTCTCTTTGAAAACTTCCCAAAGAATGAAAATTTGACTCGGAGTGGGATGTAGCTCTCTCAGATCCTGCATGACTGATGAGTAACCAAATAGGAAGGCTTGGTGGTTCGACTGGCGATCGGTTTCGGGGGAAAGAACCTCATCTTCGTCGTCGGTGCTTGACGGGTCGAGCAAGTCCCGCATTTCAGCAATCTGTCAGAACGAACCTGTTAGCAGGTCTTACCTCGCACAAGCCAAGAGACAACAAACCTCATCGCTCATGCCTGTCCAAAACGCGTTGTTCACATAGCGGCTGCGATCCTCACTGATCACGAGGCGACCGAGATGCTTGTCAATAGACTGTCTTTTCGACTCCGAGCGATCGGAGGCTGGTGAATCGCTTGGTTGTACATCGCCGAAGCGTGCCCGGATATCTGTCGAACCTGCGGGAGTGGGCGACACAATGCCGTTCTCGTCCACCTGCGCACCAAGACTATGAACCACGCCTTCCAGTCTGCGCAGCCGTGCCAACAGCTCCGCATCGGGTGGCTTTCTCGGTTTTCTAGGTGCTCTTCCAGGACCAGGAAAAACACACTCTATCCCCGCTCTTATACAGTTGGCGCATGGGTTTTCTTTGTTACACCGAACTTTTCTGCGACGACATGTGACACAACTCCGTGGGTTTAGGCGAGGTGCAGATGGATTGGAGGTCGGATCATTGTCTGTCGCGGCTTGAGCAGCGACCATACCAGAGTCGGTTATCGAAGCTTCAGCGCCGGACTGAGCGCCTTCATCGACGGATTGTGACATGTTCGGAGTACGGAGCCAGTAATGGACCTCATGCGCGACTCATGTCGAACACTTGTGGGGAACTGTCCGACAGGTACAGAAACGCGGGAAAGGAAGAGTGCTCGAGTGAAGGTCGAATAGAAGAGGGAGCGAAATCATATTACATGCTAGATGCGTCACCAAGTTTGGATGTTGCTGAAGTCTGTCGAGGGAGATCATTCCGCCCCTCCCTTCTTCGTACGAGACCTGTCTCCACCAGTGTTTTTCGCACAAACTGGCTTTCTTTGTTTGTTGTTAGTGGCAGGCCTTGTTCCTTCGGGAATCCGGGGATTCTACTGCCTCCGGAAAGGCTGGGCATCTGCCCTCTACAAGTTTCCGCTACATCACAGTGAAGATCGACTCCACTGAGATCGGCTGATTGGGGGCACAAACAAGGAGTACAGAACTACTGTGGCCGTCGTACAAACATGGTGCACTTGTACGGATCCCTCTTATATGGACAAGATCTGGTGGTTCCATGGAGATTCCAGATGAAATATATGAGCGATTTATGGACTCGCCTCGGCTCTGTTAAAGGATCTCTGACACCGACCGATTTCCGTACCCATGTCCAGCCTATGCATGGTCTGTCTTGACCTACAAGCAATCGACTTCTCATGAACGTCTTCAATCCATACCGTACAGACACTGCACTGGCTGACTAGCCAATGCATAATCCATCTCGTCCTGCATCAACCTGGGAAGATCCGCAAATCAAAAATACAAAGTCACATCGCAATGCAAACATCCAAAGAGAGAGCCAAACCCGAAGTACTCCACGCTGTCAACAAATATGGGAGCCCAGAACATAATCTCATCAATTGATGCTTGGGAGAATTGCAGAGGTCCAGCAACGATCAGAAGTAACACCTTCATTGACTGTGAGCCCTCAAAAGAACCTGGTCACGCCAATTAGCTCTGATCTGTCTTCAGCCCGACCATGACATCGAACGTACGCTGCTATTAGCTGCCGACATCGGATCGGGCTCGCCATCTGTGCCCAATGAAGGACTCTCAACACTGCCATGATTCACTGGCCCTGACGCCGTCACCGACCTCTCGCTGAACGGGGGCCTCAAGCTCGATGTCCCTCGAGAATCCCCAACTTTTGAATGTGCGTCCTTTCCGTCCGCACCACCGCCAGTGCCATTACGAGCTCCATTGGATTTAGATCGTGCCTGCTTGTTGAAAATATCGGTCACCCTGTCGGAAGCCACTCGCAGAATCGTTTGCATAAGCAGGTTCTGTTTCAGTGGTTTGGACAGGTATTCGTCCATCTGTGCCTGGATGCATTTCTCGCGATCTCCGAGCATGGCGTGGGCGGTTAGAGCGACGATGGGCGTTCTGGGCAGTCCCCTCTCCTTTTCATACTGCCGAATCTCTCGTGTGGCTTCGAACCCACCCATCACTGGCATCTGCACGTCCATAAGTACAATGTCGAATCGGTTGTTTTTGATGGCATTGACGGCTTCCAACCCATTGCCCACTACCGTCACCACATGGTTATATTTTTCCAGAATTTTGATGGCGACCTTTTGATTGACCTCGTTGTCCTCAGCTAACAACACGTTGAGGGATTTCTTGTAGTCCTTGATGACGGGCGTAGACCGGCCCTCCAAAGCCGGGATCATGCAATTACCCAGATCGATCAATTGACAGGGCGTGGTCATGTATGAAGCGATACCAAGATCAAGTACAGTCTTGAGGCTGATAGACACAGTAGGGTTCAGTAAAACCATGGGCATGTACTTGAATTTGTCCAGTTCTCGCAGTTTCTGTGCAGTCTGGAGTTCATCAATGACGATGACATCATAGCCTCCGTCGGTGTTTTTGCGATTGCGTTCGGCGGTGAAGATGCCAGGATCTGGCACATCTGCTTCGTCTTTCACCACTCTGACTTGTAGCCCAAGCTCCTCGATCATTGCAGGGACGCGTTCAAAGAACTTGGACACGCCCTTGTCAACCACGAGAACCTTATGCTTTCGGAAAGGATAAAGCTGGGAACTGATGACACTGATGTCGTCCGTTGCGAATTTGACAATGCACGAGAAGTGGAATTCGCTACCGTGCCCGAAATCGGAGGTGACCCAGACTTGACCTCCCATGAGGTTGACCAGGCGCTTCGATATAGACAGGCCCAACCCGGTACCGCCGAATTTTCTTGTCGTTGAGCCGTCCGCTTGCTGGAAAGTGTCGAAGATCAGGTCGAGCTTGTCCGACTGGATGCCTATCCCAGTGTCGGAGACCACAAACTCGAACGGAAACTCGTCTGTTGCGCAGTTCGACAGAAGATCTTTGGATTTTTTGATCGTCACTTTGACTTCCCCCTGATCGGTGAACTTGATCGCGTTGCCTACCAGGTTGAGGATGATCTGTCTTAGCCGGAATGGGTCGCCAACGACATAGTCCGGTACCGAGTTGTCCACATCAAATGCCAAACATAATGACTTCTCGTTCGCCTTGACAGCCAAGGACTTCAACGCGTTAAAGACAGTACCCCGGATTGTGTATGGAATAGCCTCAATCGCCATACGGTTGGCTTCAATCTTTGAAATATCCAGGATATCGTCAATGATGGTCAGTAAGCTGTTTGCAAGGTTGTGAACCGTGTTGAGCATCTCTCGCGAGTGCGGTTTCAGATCGTCGGTGTCCAACGTCAGTTGTGTCATGCCAATGATGCCGTTCATAGGGGTCCTGATCTCATGGGACATATTTGCCAAAAATTCGGACTTTGTCCGGTTGGCTAATTCGGCGGCTTCACGCGCCGCCGTGTTTCTCTGTATGCTGTCTCTGAGATTCGAAATCATTTGGTTGATCTTCCTCTTCAATTCATCCATTTCACCGGACGCATTGACGCTGATCAGCTTTGAGAAATCTCCTTCCGTTGCCGCGTCCGTGATCTCACCAAATGCACGAACCTGCGCAGTCAGATTTTCGGCCATGGTGTTGACGTCCTCTGTGATCTCTTTCCATCGGCCACTGACATCGTGAACGTTGGCCTGGCCACCCATTTTGCCATTGACACCGACATCGCGAGCAACTCGTCGCACTTCATGGGCAAAGGTCGCCAAGCGGTCTACCATGTTATTGATAGTGACCTTCAGTGTCAAGATTTCACCTTGTGCTTGTACCTCGATTTTCTTGTCCAGATTTCCAGCAGCAATGGCTTGTGTGACGTCCGAGATACTTCGTACCTGATCTGTCAGATTCGAGGCCATCGTATTCACATTATCGGTCAAGTCTCTCCATTTGCCTTGGACATTATCGACCTTGGCCTGCCCTCCAAGTGTTCCGTCTGTGCCGACTTCTCTCGCCACTTTGCTGACTTCGAATGCGAAGGTGTTTAGTCGATCAACCATTGAATTGATGGTCACTTTCAGGTCGAGAATTTCGCCTTGGACATCGGCGGTAACTTTCTTCGACAAGTCGCCATTGGCGACAGCGGTGGTGACTGCAGCAATCTCTCGCACTTGAGTTGTCAAGTTCATTGCCATGCCGTTGACATTTTCGGTAAGGTCTTTCCAGGTACCTTCGACGTCGTGCACCGTAGCTTGACCTCCCAGAACACCGTTGGTTCCGACCTCTTTGGCCAGGTTTGTGACTTCCTGGGCAAACTGCTGTAGTTGATCAACCATATTGTTGATCGTAATCTTGAGTCGCAGAATCTCTCCTTTACAGCTCGCAGTGACCTTTCGCGTCAAATCGCCCTTTGCCACAGCTGTGGTCACCATTGCGATGTCTCGGACCTGTGTCGTGAGGTTGTCTGCCATTGCGTTCACGCTCTTGGTCAATTCATTCCAGGTACCTTGGACACCTTCGATCTGGGCTTGTCCACCTAACACGCCTTCCGTTCCGACATCAGTGGCAACGCGAGTGACTTCGGTGGCGAACGTTCTGAGTTGGTCCACCATGGTGTTAATAGTATGCTGTAGTTCAAATATTTCGCCCTTTGCGCGACTTTGTACTTTTTGACTGAGATCACCACGTGCAACGGCCTTGGTGACGGTTGCAATCTCCCTGACTTGGTCTGTCAGGTTCGCTGCCATTATGTTGACTGCTCAAGCGTTAATTCAGATCCTTTCCACAACAAATTAGAAGCTTTACCGTTGTCCGTCAACTCCTTCCATATGCCATGCACTCCGCTGATCTGAGCCTGTCCACCCAGAATGCCTTCGGTTCCCACTTCGCGGGCGACACGAGTGACCTCGCTGCCGAAGATCTCCAGCTGATCCATCATCGTGTTGATGGTGACTTTGAAGGCCGCAATTTCATCGTCCATTTCAGTAGCTTGGATCTGGACTCGTTTGGACAAATCGCCATTGGCAACCTGTGTGATGATGCCACCGATCTCACGCAAAGCTTTTTGGAACGCCTCGTTTGCTTGCTGGTGTTTCCGCAGCTCCCTCTCCAAGATCGAAACGTCTTCATTTTCCACCCTCATGAAGGCTTGTTTGGCCTGCTCTTCCGAATTCCGTAGACCACGACTGATCTCTGCAATTGTGTCTCGCTGACTCTTTATCTGCTCCGCCTGCCTCTCGACATGTTCTCGCAATATGCTAATATCATCTTCACTCACTGCACGGTCCGGTTCTGAAGGTCGAAAGGAATCTCTGGCAGCGAGAAGGTTGTTGACGCGCCTCGAATGATTGTAATTGATAGGTGTTCTCTCAGAAGAGTCTGCAGAGAAATCAGTGCCAGATTCGCCCAGAGAACCCCGTGGTTCCACTGGGCGGGACAACGGCGAAGCCGGGCTCTGAAATTCACCTGGAGTATCTGGCAGTGAGCGCCCAACAACATCCGCCCGAGATTCCAGGTAGTGTATCCGTCTTGCAAGAGCGGCTATTTCAGCTTCGAAGTCTTCTTTTCCCGGTGTATCGTCTCCAGGGAGCTTGTATGGTGGAAGCTTCAAGCCATTGGTGTAGGTGGACGAGGTCGAGCCCTTGGCCAATCCACGCAGAATTGCCGCAGCGGCTGCCAGTGTCTCGTCCGGGCGAGACATGGACGATGCGAAATCCTCTATAGAGTGTTCCTCCTCATGAGGCGCGGTCGAGACAGGATGGTTGCAGGCGGTTTTGGTATGCCAAAGGGCCCTGGTTCTAGGCCGCGTCCAGCAGCGTACACAAAATGGCCGGAGAGCCACCTTGTTCACCGAAGACGATTTCGCGGGCAAGTGATTGGTGATGGAGAAGGAGATATTACGCTCAACAGAGTCGTCGATAGGTACGAGAAGTTTGGTGGTTGCAGAGTGGGAGATATCTTGTAAGCTGGTTAACTCGATCGACTCCGACAGATAGTACAGGGTTGGTTGGATGGATTAGACTGGGCGACGAGTGGGATAGATCTGGGCATGCCCAAAAAGACGCTAGGTGCGAAGCGGATAAACGGCAAAATGTGTCGCCCAAGCAGAATGACTTAACAGGGTCTGAAGGCGACAGAAGGGAGGGCCCTCGGGCGCAGAGTGTAAAGTGTACGGTGAGGAACGTAGGGCGGGAGGACGGAGAATAGGAGTAATGATAGGGAAAAAATGTAGGGTGGTTTTCTCGATCCAGAGGAAGGGAGGAAGGTCTGTTAGTGGGAAAGGGAGGGTGGATGGTGATGGACTGTCCACCGCAAGAGAGGCGCAACTACTGTGAACCTCCTGAGAGCGAGATCGTCGCTGCAGATGCCCAAATGGCATCAGCGGGCACAAAAGGGACAGCCAGGGAGAGGTACCGGGCGAGGTGGGAAAGAGTACCTCTTACAAGACACGCCTGGGGCCGCCACGAGCCACAACCAACGGGCACCGCCCAAAATTGAGGCTGCATGAAGTTGGTGCCCCAAACCGACCCGAGGTGCCCCTGGGATGGCGCGCATTGGTTCCCTTGGGCCCCGTCGCGGGGACATGGGGGAGCGGTTTAACCCAATCCTCAATTAGCCACTCGGCAAGCCCAATCCAAGCCTCGACTCGACTCGACACAACCCTTGGCTTTGAATGGCATGTGGGTGCCTCGCGATAATTAATGCGAAGGCGATCTATGCTTTTTGCCTGGATACTGGATAGTGATTCTAGGTGGTCATGCAACCGACGAGTGGAAGCTAGAGCCGTTGCTACACCAGGACCTAGAGAGTACCTGCGTGGGCAGAATACAACTAACACATTTTATTCTGAATGCACAATTTGGGTTCAAGCTGAAACGGTGTGTCGAAACTTACCCAGATCACTGTCCTCTCCTTAGCATTGACGATCGTCTTTGGCGGTGTAGCCACATGTACGAGCATGACCAGCGTGACCAGTGTGGACGAGTAAGGCGAGGCAACTGTTCTTGCTTTCAGGATCTTCATCTCTGCCACCATCTCTGCCACTGTCACCAAGCACGACCAGTACCCGTCTCTGCTTTGAAAATAACAGAAGATCCAACGGTGTCTACGACAGACAATGCGGATAGATAGGAGTTTGAACCTGCAAGGCCGCCAACCACCACACTCATATAACATCCCGCCAGAGGGAACAGGGACCTCGTCAGCTGCATCCAGTGATGCAAAAACTTCCCGACACTCATTGGCTGGAGGATTGGAAAGGCTACACTTATTCTCTGAGGCACGGGTAGTGAGCCCCCAACGGCAATCTCATCCGTAGCGAGACCTTGGTCCCATGTCTCGCCTGGCAGGATGACGTCTTTGTCACACGTGAACTAGTCGGCAGACTGCCTCAATGAGTGGGAATTCCCTGGTCCAGTCTTCGTCTCAGGGAGATTAAGTGATTGATCGCTTTGGATGATAGTTTGTACTGATCAGGCTGAAAATTTGATAACCATCAGCCGGCGAGCCTGTGGAGAAAATAAGTAGTACAGCGAAGTAATGACTAGAATACCCCTAAGTTATTTTGTTTCTTACTCAAAGTTTTAGGAATGAAACCGTAGATTTTATTCTCTAGTTACAACTACGAGCTAATAAGCTACATAATGATAGTAATATTTAACAATAATCCCTGAGAAAGGGTAGTAGAAAAGTATCTTGGAATTCTATAAAGGGAGGATAATGCGGTCTGACTACGGTGTTTAGTTTGGGGTGCTGCACCGACGTTTTTTCCGCAGGCTCGGCGGGTTCGAACGTCCAGAATTTTCACAGATCAGAATGCTCTTGAACATGTTGTATTACCATAGCCGGGATGAGTGCTCTAACCAATCTTGCGAATCCCTCGTGTCTGTCCAACGGCCGAACTTGCGGCCAATTCCGAATTAGAGCTGGTTTCTCTCACACAAGCATTCTCTCTTTCATATCTGATCTAGAAGGGTGCATTGTTGCAGCAGGGTCGCCATAAGTGAAGGATGCAATATGATATATTCCTATAGGGACATATTTGGGAAGAACGAAGTGACGAAATTATCCTGATGTGACCGACATCGTTAGATTAACATGGTCCAGCAGTGCTAGGCACAACTATCAATTTCCACAGAAACCCTGACTAAAGATTATGATACATTACGACGAGGCATGATTAGAGACTTAAGCCCTCCAATGCTTCTAGAAACCCTGCAATAGCTCCAGCGCCCAGAAGACCCTTAGTGGCACTTTCGCGGATATTTTGCTTTGTGGATTTCTCCCTCGAGTGCCTCTTCTCATCATGGATGCGTGATGTGGTGTTATGTTGGGACAATCGGGACGGTGATCTTGCGGATTTGCCATCTTGAGACACCGGTCTCGGCGATAGGCCCATCCGGGTGGAGGACTGAGGAATGTATCGAGTCTGAGAAGAAGGAGGTAGGTATCCAGTGAGTTGCGGATACCCATGTTGTTGTATCAACGGATGTCCCTGTGGATGCATTTGGCCGCCATATCGTCCGAATGCAACTGCCTGTGGAGGCACCATTGAATTCGGGGCATTATGCATCTGTGCTGGCAGTAGAGGCGACGAGACGCTGTGGTGGATCGGGTTCTGATCGGGTGTTACCCAGGGACGATGGCCGGGTGGGTGGTATGCAGGAGATGACAGTCTTGATGCCGTTGACTGAGCCGACGTCACGGAGGGCTGAGTTGAGGGCGGACGGTTGACACCAGCGGGAGCAGCTGTGATCCATGGCGGTGGTTCAACTGGCGGCGTGAAGGCGTGTGCTACGGGTGCGTCTCCCCCAGCAGCTTGTATCTTCCGTTCGACACCAGGGCTGCCGCTACTCCGGCGCCGAGGTTTGGGCTGGGCCATTTCGGCTTCGGAGGCAGATGATTCTGAACCTGAGTCAAGCACGTATCGCCGCGAGGATCGCTTCTTGGAGCTAGGGCTACCTCCGGGGGAATCCTCCATGTCGCTGCTTGCTGCACTCACGCTTGGCTGGTAACCAGAGTACTGCTTCCGTCTCTTGAATGCTTCATGGCGTGCAGAGGCAGAATTCGGCTTCCTCCAGTCGGTCGTTGTGCCTTCCAGGTAATAGCCACGAGGGCTCCCGTCACGCTCTCGATATCGTTCATGGAAAGGGGTCTCCTCGTCCTCCTCATTGAGATTGTGCACTGAAGGGGCGTATCTGGAACCAGAGTCACGGTTGTGGCGCCTCTCTCGAATCTCACGCCAAATGGTCCATCTTTCGAGGAGAGGGTCGATCGCGCGATCGGATACCTGAACCATATCTCGAGGAGAATCTCGAATTTGATGAAGCATGTGATCAAGCTCGCCGAGAGAAAACACTGGTAGTCTCACCAAAGCGGTCGAGGGGGGGTGCTCGGGAGCGATGGGGCTAGAGTTGTGTTGAGAGCTGTCTACAGAAACCGCCAGCGACTGGTCGTCATGCACGGCGCCGTTGTTCATGGATGATTTTCTATCTTCCTCCTCTTCTCGCTGCGAGGCCTCAAATAATGCGTCCATATTACTCATCTGCCAGTATCGGACAATCAATGCATTTTGGGCCTCTGCGCGTTCCTGAGTGATCTCTTCTTTCTTGAAAGAGACTTCTTCCGGGGAGTCGCTGCAATTTCATCGTTAGTAATTGTCTCCGATACACTTGACGAAATGTCAAACCTTCGTGAGGTGGACGCCATCACCTTTCCTAGCTGGACTATCTGCAGCATGACCGACAGGCTTAACTGAAGACTTTCGAGTTGTGCGAGCAGATATATAACCCTGTGTTTTCTGAATGTCCTTCTGAACCTCTGTTGAAGAGTGTAGGCAGTTGTGCTGGCTGTGTCCTGCGCACTCACACGCACCCACATGTCCTTGATCTCATCAAAGACTCTTGTGCTTTCATCTGCAATCGATTTTGCTGTCTCGATAGCTTCCTGGGAGTGAACTGAGTCTGTTGCCTGAAGAACTTGACCCGTGTGCTTCAGCATCATCGAGAACATTGTGACGCCCTTTGATATGCTCTTGACCTCGAGGCCCGCATTTGAGAACTCGGAACTAATCGCATTGAGAAGCAGCGAGAGTCTGAAGCCCGCACCGGCGACGTCAATAATGGGCGTGATGTTGCCTGCGCAGGAGTCAGAGTCAGTTTCATCAGACTGGGTAGGGACTCGACTTGGAGATGACGTACTTCTTGCGGTCATGCTGGATGCGCCTTGAGCAAGGAAAGCCAAATATTGATGGAATTAAGGGAACTAGCCCAAGAGGTAGATATCAGCAGTGTTGAATCAAGGTTGCCGATATTCCCAGATGATATGGCATGAGCGAACAAGTAGGCACACAAACAATGGTTGCGAACACGAGGCTGCATCCTGGCTGGGAAGGTCATAACGTCTGGGGAGGTTTGGTGGGGGAGAGGGGCTAAAACAGCGCACGCCAAAGCAGAATATCGCTGTAGTGAGGCTGATGGGCTACTTGATTGTTGAGGGGATTTGATGCAAAGTCTCCAACAGAGCAGGGGTTCTGGAGGTGAGAGTGAGTTGTAACTGGCCGGCTTGCAAACTCTGTTCTGCATCAGAAATGGCCTCGCGCGCCACAAATTTGACACATTGGTGCACATTGCATGATGAGGCAGTGAGGAGAGTTCTGTAGCGTTGAGACCAAAAGGCCTGATCTGTCTAGGACCAAAGTTCCCCAGTTGAGAAGTAGAATGACAATGGCGAGGGGGAATGGAGATCGGGAACGTGTCTATTATGAATCACATCTCTGGTCTCCATCTTGGTGCCATCTTTCATATTATGCTACTAAGATATGGATCTCAAACTAGGGGCAATTGTTCTTTTGGATCATGGTGCCGGATCCTTCGTCTCAGCATAGCATCTGAGGCTTGGCACTGGTGCAGTCTTGGTATGTGATGGAGCCATAAGGTGGATGAAAGCAGATGAGTTTCGAGCTTTGCAATCATACAAGCAGTTCTTGTAAAGGTATTCGTAGGGGGTGTCTCACAGGATAAACATTCGCAGAGGTGCACCGTTCATCGCCCCATTAAGTCAATCCAACTCCCGGTTTACGCAAGCACAACACCAGGGTACCTCAATATGCGGATACTGCCGCCAGCCACCCTCGATTTGAATGACCAACGAAGGGAAAAAACCATGTGAATTATGGGGTGAGCAAATGAAGATAGTGTCTTTGGCATCTTCTGAGCCTCCTCGTCTCTTTCGCCTCCAGTTGGCATGCTGACCCGCCTCATGGTCAATAAGACCACGTTCGAGAAATGGAATGCTCCAGAGCGGGCTAAGTACTTGTCCCATGTACCTAAGATGCCATGGAAAAGGAAAAGGGGAGCTTCCCCTTCTCGCTTAAAAGTGGCGTTTTCGTGGGCTTTTCGGTGTTGGCGGTGTCGCTTTTTCCCAAGGCCCATACCTATCAAGGCACCCCAGGTACGCATCCCATCGAGTCCATGCTTGTGCCTTGGCCCGTCTTGGGCAAGGCCGCCTTTTTAAGCTACTCAGAGTTGCAGGCTAATTGTGCCGGGTCTGAGACCCGCATGGGCTTGGGGGTGGGTGCGTGGGCACTGGGCTCGCCCCTCGCACCAACACCTGTTGATCGTTTCTCTTTTACCCTTTCGTCTTTCGCCATCTCTCTCAATCTACCCGCACCTGGACCCCCGGCGTTGGGTCTCGTCAAGCCCTTCACCTGTGCAACTCTGAGTAAAGATTGTCGTGCTGTTGAGTTCTGGTATCTTTCGTTTGAACCTTTTCACTTTTACTCCATACATCCCGGCCCTACTCTCGGTCTCGACCGCAAGCGAACCCAATCCCCTCTATCGGTCCATCTAATTGCCTGCAACCTTTTGCCAACCGTCCTAGTGTTTTCACACCCACAACCTGCCTTGGGATTGACCTGCGTTCTTCGACCCTTCACACACGATCGTGAACGATTTCTACGTACGGCTGATCTACTGAGTTGTTTATCTGTCACCGAGACCAAATCACGAGCGCCTCCGAGCGTCCCAGAGCGCCCCTGCGTGCCCTTCAGCCATCTCGCAGTCTAGGACGCTGACCATGCGGCGTTTATGAAGCACCGATCGCGACGCTGAGAGAAAACTGGGAACACGACGCCTGCTGCAGTTGATATTGAGATGCAAAGAGCAAGGAAGGGTGTTCAGCCGCGGCCATGCGGATCTCGATACGAGAGCAGCTCGGACTGCTCGTCCTCTTTTGCTCCCTTACATCTCTGATGGTGCTTGCGCTCGCAGTGGTACGTCGCGTGGAAAATGTTGACAGCGGATGATACTGAGTGAAATATGGCCAGTGGTTCCAAAATTACAATTTCATTACCGGCATCAGGTCAGGGAAAATGCCTGCCCATCCTGAAGTCCTTCAGCGCTGATTGACATTGACAGGTTATCCGGACTGTCCTTGACGGCATCTCTCAAAGCAGCACAGTTCACGAGCGCACTACTGTTGTATGATTCACAGGCCAGGCTGATCAGTACGCGGCTGCTAATCCAGAGTGCTCTGGGAAGATATAATTCGGGTAATCCTTCCGAGAACCTTCTTCACTAAAGTGATAATGCTAATCATGACCACTGAGAAGGAAACACCTCAAACGAGAACTGGCAACGTTCTGTGAGTGACTTCCAGGGCGCTCTCGCCAATGGCAGCCTTCTGGTCCAGGCAATTCTATATCCCAATGCCTACAATGGAAACGAGACTGCGGTCAATGGGCTACTCAACGTCACTGCAATTGGATTGGACGGCACAATCAAACTACCCTACAACTATACGAATGGCTCAGCTGTTTACTTGGGAGACCCGGGCCTAGGCTACCCCTCCTCACTGTATCCAAATTTGACTTATGGCCCTCCACAATCAGGAACCAATTTTTCAACTCTATACTACAAAGGCCAAATCATTCGACCTGATGACACCCTGTTCCTAGGACCTTTGGTTGTGAATGAGACTTATTCCCTTCTGTCGCTCACAGTTCCCCTGATCAACAACACATCTCGGTCCGATGTCCTTGGCTGGATGACGGTTCTGGCCAATACTAATATGCTATACGAAATCCAGCAGTCACCTGAAGGACTCGATAAAACCGGGGAAACTCTTATTATTGGTCCAGCGTCGTCGAATAACCATTTTGGACAACAGGTCCGGGGATCTAGCAAGTCCTACCTGGAATCTCAACTAGTCCGGTATGTGCTACCACCGGCAAGCAATTCTACACTGGATTATCGGCACCAGGCCCGAAGTGGCGTCAACAATGCCACCGAGCCATTTCCAGCTTCAGGTTATCCGGCAGTCGTTTCTGCGTGGACCAAGGACAACCAGGCCATCAATAATGCGGGCGCCTATATTTCAACTCGGAATGAAGAAGGAAAACGAGTTTCCGCAGGTTATGCCACGCTATCTACCAAGTTTGTCGATTGGGTGGTTGTGGTAGAACAATCACACCACGAGGTGGTTGCCCCTATCGACCATCTGCGTGATGTTGTTCTCATCTGTGTCTTCTCTGTGACCGGCTTACTCCTGCTCGTCATGTTCCCCATGGCACATTATTCGATCACCCCAATCCGACATCTCGCAGCTGCAACCGCCAAAACGGTAGAGCCTTATCAACCTGACGATAATAGCGAATATTCCAGCACTTTCGGCCACCAAGTCGCGGAGATGGAGGACGTACTGGACTCTGATGAACGCGAGGTGGCTAGAAAAGAAGGCTTTTTCGGTGTTCTGACAAGGATTTCTAAACCAAAACAGTCAGATCGATCGACAACTCCTCGACACTTGCGGCGAAGAACATTCAGGATACCTAGGAAAGTTCCAGAGCGAAAACATCTCATCACTGATGAGCTTACGGAGCTGACTCGCACCTTTAACGAGATGTCTGACGAGCTAACGATGCAATACGAGCGTCTCGAAGAAAGGGTAAAGCAGCGTACAGCGGAGCTCGAGAAAAGCAAGAAAGCCGCCGAAGCAGCGAACCAGAGCAAGACGCTCTTCATCGCTAACATTTCCCACGAGTTGAAAACGCCTCTCAATGGTATTCTCGGCCTTACGACCGTTTGTATGAACGAGGATGATCTAGGCCGGATCCGGTCTACACTAAATACCATCTACAAATCTGGAGATCTGCTTCTCCACTTGTTGACCGATCTTCTTACCTTCAGCAAGAATGAGGTTGGCCAGCAGCTGTCGATTGACGAAGCGGAATTCAGACTCAGCGATCTGAGCACGCAACTGATGCCTACCTTCGAAAAACAGGCTCGCGAGGCACAAGTGGATCTCAAAGTACTGTTCCTTGGCACGAACGACGCTTTTGGTGACGCTTCTGAGTTGTCTGGAGAAAAGCTATATGGCCCAGTTGGCACAGGCCGCGTTAGGGACATGTGTCTATGGGGTGACAAGAACAGGATTTTACAGGTCCGTCTAGTCCCGGAAACTAAATTCATTCTACTAACTAGCTTCAGGTCCTGATGAACTTTGTCAGCAACAGTCTGAAGTTTACTCCTGCGCATGGCTCTGTCACAGTCCGTGTTCGCTGCATGGGTCTTGTTGAGAGCTTTCCTAGTAGAGCAGGAAGCGCGCGAAAGTCCTCCCTGAACTCAAGAAAGTCAAAGTCTTCGAGCAATAAGCGAGTACGGATGTCAGATGGCTCCCTGGTTCCACCAGATAGCGCCGATCATGACAAGAGTCGTTCGAATTCTGGGGGACTCGAAGACTCAAAACTTAGCATCAACGTGGCTGGAGGCACAACGCACATACCGAAGGTCGCAGAAAGGCAGCGATCAATGTCACCCCCACCAGTGAATACGAAAGATTTGAGCTTCGAATTCGAGGTTGAAGACACAGGTCCGGGGATTCCACCTGAACAGCAGAAAATGATCTTTGAACCCTTTGTACAGGGTGACCTAGGCTTGAGCAAGAAATACGGGGGTACTGGATTGGGTCTAAGCATCTGTGCTCAACTAGCGGCCTTAATGGGTGGTGACATTTCTCTCGACAGCAAAGTGGGGTTTGGCAGCAAGTTTACTATGCGGATTCCGCTTCGCTATGTATCAGAGCGCACCCCGTCAATGGCCTCCTCAACACGGAAATCCGCCTCCAAAGCCAGCAGTCTTGTTGGACAAGCCTTGCATGACCAACCCGACGTAACGCCGCACACCCACACTGGTTCCACGACATCCTTACCCTCAGCCCGGGATGATCAACCCAAACTAGCCGATGTTCCAAGGATAGTCGGCTTCACTCAACCTTATGTGGCGAAAGAGATAAAGAGTAGCGACGCATCTCAAGCAGGACTCAATGAGATAAAGAAGGTGGAGAATGAAGCTGCACAAAAGGGTCGAAAAGTGCGCGTGCTCGTGGCAGAAGACAATCAAGTGAATCAAGAAGTCGTCCTTCGCATGCTGAGGTTGGAAGATGTCTATGGTAAGTCCCCTGAACCAGTGTAATGCTACAATCTCACTGTCTGATAGATGTCACGATTGCGAAGGACGGACAAGAAGCATTTGAAAAGGTTCGGGAATCCATGGTGAGCGGGCAACGGTTTGATCTAGTATTTATGGACGTTCAAATGCCCAACCTTGATGGAATTCAGTCGACCAGACTCATCCGCGAAATGGGATTCAAGTCGCCTATTGTCGCCCTTACTGCGTTTGCCGAAAAGTCCAACGAGGACGAGTGCATGGCTTCCGGAATGGATTACTTTCTGGCCAAGCCGATTCGAAGACCTGCTCTCAAACAGGTCCTTAAAAAATATTGTGCAACAATTCCGGAGGAGGAATACGAGGGAAGTTCAACTGCGGTGCCTCGTTCAGACGAGAATGCAGCGCCACAAGCGAAAAACGGTCAGACCACATACAGGGAGCCCAATATTGACCCGTTGGACTCAGGCGACGTCTCACCACTATCATGATTGCTCCATCGCCGCGGTCCAGAATCAGCCATATCAATTGTATAACAGTACTCCTATTCATATTGGGTATAAGGAAAATGTGTGGAAGCTAGGCACTCTCATGCCAGGAGAGGTCACTACTGGTGGCCTATTGTTTGCCTGGGTATCCAAAATCTCAGATTTGTTTCAGATGGTAGTGCATATGGACAGCGATGGCGTGTGGAGTTGGGCTCTATACTGTTGGATATGGGCACTTTAAGACACATCTGAGTGCTACGGTCTGGAAAAAAGTTCAAGGTTCATGGGAGACGCAATTTATTAGGATTGCAAGTATCACAATTCACGGTTCCATATTGGGGTGGTAAGGGAGGGAGAGCCCCTCAATTCATAACTGAATACGAATATATCTGGCTGCACTAGCCAAGCAAGCCGTGAACGGGGCGTGGGTAACGAAAGACGAGTTCGAGTCGTGGAGCACGAATGGTGTGCGTAGTTGACATGGAACAAACTGCTGAATGCTTACAACACTAGAAGGGTGGCTCCAACGGAGTTCACTTGGTAACTTGCGAGACAAGGGCATTGGCCCTGCACCAATATGTACATACATCCTCGGTATACGTACAGTACCTCGTACAGAGCACAGGCTACCGTGGTCCGTGGGCGAATTAGGCGCAGGGACGCAAGATCGACCCACAGCATAGTGAGATCTGATCGATCTCGCTGGTAGATCCGATCCTCACTTTTCTTACATCATCACTGCCAACTGCCAAATTACTAGCATCAGTGAGATGCGTAGCTCTCACGAAAGGTACATTCTTTGGTTTCTGCTTCTTGCTGCACGCGTGAGTTGCTCCTCGATTTTGCGTATCGACCGCATGACTACGTGAACGATAGGTGGAAGTCGTCTCAAGACAAGCATTTCCAACCATGCGCAGAATGAAACGCAAACCAAATAACGTGGTAGTAACTGTCGACCCTGAGCACAAGAAGCCACGCTCAATCACAGTCTCCTCAAATCAATACAAGGACTCGACAAATGAGCTCAAGTACGGAATCATCCTCCCCAAGTACTATCCTCCGGAGATGACCAACGAGCGAGCCGAAGCATACAAGACCGGACAGATTGAGCGACCGATAGAGACACTGGAAAAAGCCGCCAAAGAAACACAAGCCGAGCGAGACCAAGTACCGCCAGGAAAATGTGTGGTTCACTGGTTCAAGTGTGATTTGCGGACGACGGACAACAAGGGACTGCACCTAGCAAGCAACATGGCAAAATTGCACAATGTGCCCCTGGTTTGCCTTTACTTGATCTCCCCTCAGGACTTCGAGGCCCATCTGACAGCTCCCGTACGCGTTGATTTCATTCTTCGTAACCTTGCTATGTTGAAGAGGGATCTAGATGATTTGGACATACCATTGTATGTTGAGACGGTGGAGAGGAGAAGGAATATCCCGTCTAAACTCGCCGACTTATGCGCGGCATGGGGAGCTTGCCATGTATTTTGCAACGCTGAGTACGAGGTGGACGAGCTCAGGAGAGAAGCTGCTATAACAAGGGGGTTTTTGGAGAGGGGAATATCAGTCAGCGTCATCCATGATACTTGCGTTGTCGAACCTGGCAAGCTGAAGAGTGGCTCCGGTGGTCCAATATCGGTCTACAGTCCCTGGCACCGAAAGTGGTGCACCTACCTCAACCAAAACCCCCAAGAACTGGACTATCTCCCTCCACCAGGCCACAACCCACGGTCTGCGAGGGAAAGTTACTCGAGGTTATTCAACACTGGTATTCCAGCGGCACCTCCCTCGAAGCAGCTGACCGAGGAAGAAAGACTGAGATTCAGTAGCATGTGGCCCGCAGGAGAAAGTGAAGCCCAAGATCGACTGCACAAGTTCGTGCTCGAGAAAATTGCCAAGTACCATGATACCAGGAACCTACCTGGAGGCAATGGGACGTCTGTTCTTAGCCCACATCTGGCAGCAGGTACAATTGCCGCACGAACAGTTGTTAGAGAGGCTCGTGATGCAGCTCCCTTGAAGAGAGTGACAGATGACCGGAAACAAGGACACTCAATGTGGATTGCCGAGGTAGCGTGGAGAGATGTGCGACCTTCTCCCATATGTTATGTCTTGGTCCAGGCTGACAGCGTCTGCAGTTCTATAAACATGTCCTATGCCACTGGCCGTATATTTGGTAAGTGCGTTGTGCTCATTCTTGTTAGTCATGATGGCTGAAACATCCTGCCAGCATGAATAAGCCATTCAAACCAGAATACAGCAATATCGAGTGGGAGTACGACATGGAACAGTTCGACAAATGGACCCAGGGCAAGACAGGTTTCCCAATAGTTGATGCTGCAATGCGCCAGGCAGTGTATACGGGATATATGCCGAATCGCTGTCGGATGATTGTGGCTTCCTTCTTGGCCAAAGATCTCCTCATTGACTGGCGCATGGGCGAAAAGTGGTTCATGGAGCACCTCATTGATGGTGACTTTGCGTCAAACAACGGCGGTTGGGGATTCAGTGCCAGCTGTGGCGTCGACCCACAACCCTATTTTCGCATTTTCAATCCGTTGCTCCAAAGCGAGAAGTTTGACGCCGAGGGAGGGTATATCCGTAAATGGGTGCCAGAGCTTGCTGATATCGAAGACAGCAAGGGAATCCATGACCCATACAACCGTGGCTACGGGAAGGTTGCTGAGACAAATGGCTATCCAAGGCCAATTGTCAATCACAAAGAGTCGCGAGACAGGGCTCTGGCGCGGTATAAAGCGGGTATTGGAAGGGATAATGCATGAAGACATCCAAGCTAAGTGCCAGTTCTTGCAGCTGGATTCGACCAGCTGAGGGTAATGAGAATATTGCATGGTTCGTTTGGAGTGCCAACACGTAGCCTTTGGGTTTCCCTTTGATTTTGCCCGACTCAAAGAGAAGAAGCGGGCCTTCGACCATGGTCGTCAGTTTACCTTAGCCGGGCCCTTGCGTTCGACCTTGCCTGCTTATATTCTGACTATGAGGTACTTCTTTTGAACCTGCCCAAGCACGGAGCAAACAGAAGGTCGTTCATTTTTAGTAAGTCGTCAATGTATTCAATTCCAGCTTTTGTCATAAGATGGAAACACCCTTCGGAGTTATGGTCAGAGGATAACAAGGGCGTGGCGCAGTGGAAGAGGTTGGTCTTCGAAAGAAGCTCCATGACTTTGGCGGTTGGGATATAGCCTCAGCGGCTGTTTCACAACATATGGGGACGGACAAATTGCGTGATAGGTATTCTGTTCAACGTGATAGCATCTGCTTTCAGACAGGTGTGATTGTCAGCCAGAAAAAAAATCAAAGTATTCTACCGTAGGGGAATTCTCTTTATTGTGCTCTCGTAGTTGGAGGGATTGGCCGGATATGCTGGAGACTTCATATTGAAGGATAGATAAGGTCTGGCAAACGATCACGTCCATGATATATGCTAGATACTTGTACTGGAGGGATTCGGAATGCTCGGTTCTAAGACGTGGAGAGCGGCAATCGGCAACAGACCATTTGCAGTCCCTCCCTCCAACCCACCGTCCCGCCTAATCCCCGTCCAGGCTTTCCTCCAACCAGCTGTCGAGACAACCTTCTAGCAAGGAGATCAGCGGGCAACTACAGGCATCACCTGCCCCTCCTTTGGCCTAGTAACGCCTTTCCTGCCGCCCCCTTCCCACTTCTAAACGCCCTTTTCATTCAAAAGCCTACGGATTGGATGAAGTTGGGGTAATTCTCGCATCACCCACAATGACCCCGGTAATAGCAGTGGCGGGAAGCGGCCACACTGCGGGTTTCGATGGGTTGCCCATCTTTCCTCTACGGTGGTCGCCTGTGAACTTTTCTCACACTTCCTTTACCGTGCAAATCTCCATCGACAGCTATCCTACGACGTCTTAAGGGTTGAGAACGAGGTCCATGGCTCTTCTCTTTCGTTCACCCTACTCAAGCCATGGTGAAAGGAGCGAAACGGGCACTTCAGTTGCCCAAGCAGCAACTGCTCATTCTAGCAGTATGCCGCTTCGCAGAGCCTGTCGCAATGACCTCGGTCTACCCATACATTGTGAGTCCCAAGGATCCAAATCCCCCAGCAATGTGATCGTTCATCCATACTGACTGTATTCAGCCGGAGATGATTCAATCCTTCAACGTCCCCAATGATAAAGTGGCCAAATGGGCCGGACTTATGTCTGCGACCTTTTCACTCTCACAATGTCTGACCGGAATCGCCTGGGGTCGGGCATCAGACCGTTTTGGGCGCAAGCCCATAATCATCCTCGCCCTGACTTGCACCATGATTTCATCCATATTATTTGGCTTCTCCAAAAATCTTGCCTGGGCCTTCATCACACGGTCTTTGCAAGGCCTCTCGAATGGGAATGTTGGGATCATTCGGACAGCTGTGGCAGAATTGGTACCTCAAAAGGAATTACAACCGAGGGCATTCAGTATTATGCCGCTCGTCTGGAACATTGGCAGTATATTCGGGCCGTCTTTTGGAGGATCTCTGGTCCATCCCGCAGAAAGATATCCAGAAGTGTTTGGAAAGCTGAAGTTGCTCAAAGAATATCCCTTTGCGCTGCCAAACCTCTTGATCAGCATTCTTTTCATGTGCGGGATTACTGCCGGTTTCCTTTTCTTACACGAGACCCTCGAGGAAAAGAAATTCCACAGGGACTACGGCCTGATAATGGGCAAATTACTGACCAACTCCTGCACCCGGAGGCCACGATCCAGGACCAGGACTTGGTCGAATACCGAGGAGTCGGATCCATTTCTCCCTGGGATTTCGAGTGAACTGTCCACACCGATATCTGGTTCCATTGTCGCGGCTGAGATCCCCAGACAGAACCCAGGCTGGGCGGAGGTCTTTTCCACACAGTCAAATATCAACCTGGGTGTGTACACGCTTTTGGCCATGCATTCGGTGGCGTACGACCAACTACTGCCAATATTCATGCATTATCCGGTGCAATCTATTCAAGACCCAGAGGTCCATC